CTGTGCTACTCTGGCAATACCAACTATTTCTAAGACTATTTAATTATTCAGAGTGCACTGGCTGCTTTAAAACACTCCAGAGTAAATCAAACCATGGTAGCTTTTTTTCATAGCTATCAAGTTAAAGCATGAGAAAATGGAGATTGAAGTACTTTTCATGCTCAAATGATGTGTTTTTTGTATCTTTAATGTACTACTTTTTCATTAACCTTAATTACAAGTTTCCTTGGTTTATCATTTTTAGTTTAGGAGTAATAATATTACTCTAAAGTCATCTGGAAAAAATTGTCTGGATTTTACTCTATATTATGAAATCCATTTTCAAGTAGTTTTGTCAGTGACTAATTCTCAGCATTGGTTGAAACAGCTTTTGCGGAAAATTAGATCTTTATTAAATGCACATTTTTAAACAAAAAAGACTGATTTCTGGGGAAAATCTTGTTTTCTTTTAAATTAACTAATTAAATTCTCAGAAAGTCTCTTAGCCAAAAACTGAAAAGCATCAATTTGGAAATATTCCCATATCTTCCTATGGGAGCTGTAGCTCAAATAATTTATTGTCCTCTGTTAGGAGTTGCTCTCTGTAAGGAGACTGCAACTCCAAGGAAGCAGTGCAGGCCATCGACATGACAGGAGATTGACAGACATACTCACAAGCCAAACCTAAAACCTCGGGTACAGCTCCAAGGAACCAGCAGGGTGACATTTTCTAGAGTCTAGCTTTTGGAACTCTTGGGGAATAGCTGGAAATGTGGCTTCCTCTTGTATTCCAAGATTCTACACCATTTCCTGCAACATCAAATTTCCAAGAGCAACAGAATAAAAATTACTATCAACTTGTCTTTCTCCTTACTCCTTTGAAACTAGCATTATTCACACACTGGAACATGGGAACTACATAAGGTTTTGATATTGTGAGAGTTTGGCACCAGTAGTACTGGTCCCACTATCTTCTAGAAGTGTCATCTGACAGCTAACTTAAATCATGTTATACCTGGTGTCTGCACATTTGTTTGCATATACCAATTAGAATTTATATAATCCTAAACTATATTGTAAAGAAAGTTCACCCATCAGCACAGTTTAGTAAACAGTCTTATCTTACCTTAGGCTTCCACTCTTTTCCATTCAACATATGGTTTCACTTTGAAAGAGAAGACTTACAATAAATGGTATCATCAGTAGGCTGATAAATGCTGTAATTTGTAACATGACATGTTTGAGAAAGATTTCCCATGCCTAGTCAATGCTTAATTGCTTTCTAAAATATTAACTTTTGCTACATATTTAGACAATAAGTACTGTATATAGGAAAAGAGATTATGGCTCTTGCCCATCTCTCCAACAATTTTAGTTTTTCATTTATTTTACATGTACATACTGGTTTTTGGATACTTAACAGACATGCTAACCTCAACATCCTTTCACTTAAGAGACAAATGGAATCTTAACTCTACCTCAATGACCCTGGGTTTGCTGCTCTTGTAATGTGGCACATCAAAAGTCCTGAATAGTGGAATTTACATTTCACAGTGCAAATGTAGTGGAATCACCAGGTCCTACACTGGGTGCTGCAAGGCTCCTGAAAACCTTCTGGCCCAGATAAAGACTTGGGCCTGCCTGTATGAAACATTTTGCTTGGAGGTCAGATGAGGTGCAGAGGTGACAGAAATCCTTGAGGTTTCTGAGGTTCCTTGTGACTTTCTTCTTTTTGTGACATCACCAGAATACATAGTTTCCACTTGAACCATCAGTGCTTTTTGCCTGAAATAGGTCACTGCAGTGAGACTATTTCTCTGTGGTAATTATGGATGTATCTACACAGCTCCTAAAAGAGACAAACAACACATATCTTCAGCATAACAAGGCTAGTGCAGGTCTATGCTCAGTTCTTTTTCTTATTGACCTGAGTCTGCAAAGAAGTGCTCCCAGGAAAGTGCTCAGGTAAGTCATATTCAGAGTAGTATGAAGACTGAGCAGATCGTAGGGCTTGGAGTCTGCCTGGTGATGTACGGCCATGAGCTGTACACATGGAAAAGGATAAAGGTTCTATCAACACGCTGACGTGGGAGGTTTATGACTAAGTCAATCATCCTGTTTAAAACGCAAACTTGCACTCATCAGAAAAACATACAAAGGGGCCACTAGTAGTGCCTGGAGCCAGAAACTTCCAGGTTCTGCTCACACAGAACAGCTGGCAAAGACAGATTCTGAAAATGAAACAGAGGCAAGACAGGAGATGATGGGACTAGAAAACCAGGCATCCCTTCCCCAGGTGGTACAAGATTCTAAGTCTAGCAGAAATCATCAGCCCACCTCTGGCGATGCAAACCTATACCTCAGGATAGCAAGTCCTGGATCATTTGGCAAATTAAGAGCCAAACCTTAACCAAGCTTTTTATCAATCTTATCACTTTATTAAATATAATAACACCAAGATAATAAAATAAATAAATATACACTAAATATAATAAATATAGTATAATAAATAGAGTAAATATAACTATAATATAACATATGATACAATATATAATAAATAAATAATTAATATAATAACACTAAGATACATTTTGTAACACCCTCAGGTGAATGAGGTCAAATACAAATGCTGATACTGAAGGTATATGCCAAAGAAATTACATTTGGGGGTGTTCCCCACCTTGCATCTTGGGAAAGAAGCAATTTCCCATGTAATTGTCATTCTTGCACATTTTTTGGCATGTGACCATAAGAGCACTGAAAGTTTTTTTCTTCTATGTCCCCAAATCAAAGATTTACCAGCTAATAGTGGAGACATTTGGACATCCATATATAATGGAATGAACAGTTTCTCCTTCAACTTCTTGACAAGAATATAGCATACCAAGCTGGTATCATGCTTTATTCTGACAAACTGCCATATAAACTTGGGAAGGCAGGGTACCTGGAAAAATCCAGATTCACTGTCAAATTCTACAGCTTCAAAATCAGCTTGAAACTGAACAGACAAGTGGAAATTGGATATAGACTGATGCCTGTTTATTAAGGGCTTCTCTGCTCTTCACTTTGCAGTGCATGATGAAAACCAGTCTCAAAAGAGTACCATTTAAGAGGCCTATGTATAAAGATCACATGAATGAACAGCTCATTGCGAATTCAGTAAATTTGAATCACTTTAGGTTTCTTTTCCTTATTCTAGGATCTTCTGTTTGTTCCATCTGGCCATTTCTGACATGGATTTTGCTTCCTCATTCCATGTACACTTCAAGTTTGGAAGGAAATCCAGGGAATCAGGTGTCCAAGAAGTAGGATCAGTCTTGTCATAGTAATTTCTTGCAGCAACAGTGTCTTCAGCTGACCAACATTAAACTTTCTCACAGTTCTTTCCTGTTTAGTTGCAAACCTGTTTAGCCTGTGCAAAGTGCAAAGGTGTTGCTTGTAGAAGTGAGGGGCTTAAGAGTCTTATGCAGCCCAGCTCAATCAAAGTTTTTAGGAAACAGCCCCACTGAGATTAATGCCCATGTTCATGGACATATGTTCTACATGTTTGATAAAAGCCAGGCTATCTGCATGTTGCCTTTCAGAACTAATATCATAGTTCTGGTAGTTCTCTGCCAGGAGAAACGGAACGCATACATTTTGGCCATTGAAATGTTGCACTGGTTTGCAAGACATAGTTCCTCTACAAAAAAGGTATAAGTCACAGATCCATTACAGAACTCCTAAACATTTCCCACACAAGCAAATAAGGAGTGAATAATTGTATCTGAATTCCTTATTTTTTTTTTTTTATTTCCATGGGTTTATATAAAAACCAATTGTTTGAAATCTGGATTATGTTTTTTGAAACTTTTGCAAATCCATATGGGTGTTTTTGTGCTTTTGCTTTTTTTGTACTCTTGGATTTCAACATCAATTGTTCCTATGGTAATGTTCAACACCGTTGTCTAAACACAGTCTGGTATCTCCTCAAGTGTGTTTTGGCACAATGACTTCTTTTAGGTGATGTAGGTTTGGGTTGTTTTGGTATGGTTTTGTCTTTTAGTATGTCACTACTTAAGCAAATGGCTGAGACTGCAGCTTATTACAAACACTAAATAAACAATCAGATTTCTCTTTTATTTTGTATTACCCAACTCTATGTTTACATCTGTTGTCTACAAGCAGACTGAGCCGGTGCCATCTTTCCTCTCTATATGTTTGTCATTAATTCAAAGAGGCACTGAGTCACTGCTGAAGCTTTTAGCATCTAATTCAAAGTTAACATGAAAAAAAATAGTATTTTTTTACTTAACATCTGGCCAGGATACATATATTGTGACTGTAATACCTTTCAGTATCACTCTTAAATAGTATTTAAGACTGAAGTGCAACTAATTAAAACTCTCTCTGTCCTTCAGATGTCTTTCCTGCTGTTGTGTGGGGATAATGACATACTAGCTTCTCACTTCAGTGGCCAAACTAAACAAATGGAAAATAGTTCTCGTTTGGGTAGAACGGAAAACATCTTAGTCAACCCAAAACAAAAGAGTTTATTTTTATGTCTTTTTACGCATCACCTGGAAAATCAACTTTTGAACGGAAATGTAGCTTCACAACTATAGTTTCGTCCCAGTTTTGTAGCAACAACATGCACAGTCCTTTTCCATATTGTTTTCAGGTATCCAGAAAGCATTTCTTATTAAGTGGCGTATGACTTTGTTAATAATTATTATGTTCTGTGAGCATGTTTTTCAGGAAATCTGTTACTTGCTACGAATACAGCTCCGCAGTCTGCTGGATTCTAAGAAGTGGAAAGCCATTTAATTTTTCTCCCTGTGCCAAAGAGGAACTCCCTGGAGTTTTATTTATTATCTTCTGATGAGGGGATTAATTTTATATTCAGCCGTTCAGTGCATCTCCTGCTCAGAACCAGCTTCGCCCGGGCCCGCAGCGGCCACTGCGGAGCTGCCCCGGGCACGACTGCCCCGCCACCCCGCTCTGTGAGGGGCGGGCAGCGATGCCGGGGCCACCGCCCTCGGCAGTGCCGGCCTCTGCCTCTGCCCGTCCCCCACGAGCTGCCTGCTGCCGGCTCCTTTCTCCCGCTAACGTTAGCCAGCGGCACACCTGCCCCAGGGCCGTGCCTCCCTCCCCGCCGGTGCCGCTGCCGGGGCCCGGCCCGCGGGTCCCTCACGCCGCCCGCAGGGAGACAAGATGGCGCCCGTCCCGCGCCGGCGGCAGCGCTCTGCGCTCCTCCCGCGCTGCCCGCCGCAGAATAGAAACCATCCTCTTGAGCTCTCCTGCCACGCAGTGGCTGCTGTGGAGAACTGCCGGATACCGTGCGTCAGGCCTCGGATAAGTCGGAAGGTTTGAGGCAGGTTTACTTCCCCCGCCCTGTTGTGGTTAGTTGGAAGTACAAACCCACCCCCCACCCCCGACATCCTCAGCTCCGGTTTCGTCCAGGCTCGCACATCGACACAGTCCGGAGCCCAAGTTCCTCGGCTGTTCTTTTCTTCTAGGGGGAAATAAACAGTAAGAGCGATTACTTTGATTTATTCCAACACTGCTGTTATCTGTTAAACTGGGACCGGGAGCCGCATTGGGAGCAGGAGCGCTGGTGCTGGTGTGAGGCGTCAGGAGCCCCACAGAACAGTGCACCTGTCCGGGCTGCCAAAGCCGCCTCCGCTCCTTCAGCGGCCCTGCGCCCTTCCTGCGGCGGTGCTGAGCAGCGCTGCGCTCGGTGCGCTCAGGAGTGCTTGTGAGTCCAGTCTTAAATGAGAAATGGCATTGCATGGCACCGACAGCACTCTAGCGACTGCCACAGTTGAAAGCAGAAACAACGGCTATCAGGGAGTCGTCGGCCAAGGAAAGCAATTCCCATAGGTAAGTAGCCCTATATCCGCTTCCAGATGATTCGAAGGCAGTTAGGCCTTCTCAAATTGGTTTGGCAATTTCAGCACATGTTGCTGCCCTCAGTCAAGTGAGAGAACCTGCTGCTTGCCTCGTTGCAGATGGCATGAATAAGGATGCTCTTTTGATTTGTAATTTACAGAACTGGATTTATGGTGTCCACAGAGTCTTTGGTAAAGAGCCATCTGATGCATTTGCTTGATGAGCTGGAAACACCCAGATTCAATCTCTTATTTTGACCTACCTCAGAACAGACTTTCTGGGAAATGCTGCTCTTTACCAGCCCACCTCCTCCTACCTAAAGAAGATAAACGGAGAGACTACATTAGGCTAGTTCAAATTTACCCCATTGTCCAGGAAGGCTTTTAAGCCAGTGTCTTGCCTTCCATCCCATTTCTAATACTACTTGGCGGAATGAATTCCTGGTCTTCCTTGAAAATTAATTCTCTCCATTTAAGGTCACAAAATGTACAGTCAGGATGGTATTAATTTTAATTTATATGTCCAAGAAAAGTACAGTTTAAAAATATGGCTTAGTAATGCCATTTCATTTGCTGAAAAAAATTATTTTCCATGCTACTTGAAAAGGAAGACTGATGGCCCTGTGCTTCCAACAACTCAAATACACATGTGCAAAACAGATGGTTTCTGGGTTGACTTCTCCGTCTTTCTAGCATCCAGATTGACAAGAGAGACACTTCCAATAATTTTTATCCTTGAAATAAACCCTTAGAACCGGTTGAGACCCTCTTTTCAAGTACTACTCGCTAGGGATCATACCCTGTATTACTGAGGAGTCTCATTTATTGCTCATTGAAGCCAATGTCAAATTTTCCCTTGACTGACCCAGTGGTCAGAGATGAGGGCCAGGCAAGGAGCAGGCCTCTGTTCTGCCAAGTTTCAGCTAAAGACACACAATAAAGAGGTAACACCTCTCCCAGAGAACTTAGAATCTAAGGTAAGAGGTAACATTAACCTGCCATTTCCTAATGTTCCCAACAAACAGTTTGAGAGTTCATAAATTTCAAAGACTTCACTACAAAAAAAAAAAAAAAAAACCCTTCCATTTTAACATATAATTATAGAAGGGTTGAAACATTACTGGGCTGATGAAGTTTGCCTAGGACATTCTCTCCCCCATATAGTGATGATTCCAGCATTAGCTGAGAAACACTTATTAGCACTAAAATGAACTTTAAAAATATTCCTTTTTAAATGCATGCACTAAGCCAAGCACTTCCCATGTTGCCTTTGCTAATTCTGGAGCTAAGTGTATTTGAAGAGAAATATATCTCCTTAACCTTTGTTTTCTCATTTGGCTGAGCCTACAGTGATCCTGTGATCCATGTTTGCAAAATGAGCTTTGCTGCTAGAGTTTTACTGCAGGGTCAAGTATGCTGCAAAAGTATGTAGAGAGAAAGCCAAATCCTTCTTAAAACACAGATGTCTTAAATTTTCCAGATGTCATCTATGTTTAGCAAATATGTTGGGGAGCTGGATGCTGATGGATTGACCATGAGTGATCAACCTTTCACTGTTAGACCACTGGTCCTAAAGAAGCACAGAACTGGGAGAATTACCAATTACAGGTTTGTATTTGATTCTGTGAAATATGCTTGCTGGACATGACCCATTTCACAGTGAACAAATATGCATTTCTTAAAAACCTGCAGTAATATAAGAGCTCATTATCACAAATACCAATTTACACAAACCATTTTTTCTTTCTGCATCAGATCCTTTAGATTAGGTTTGGGAGAGCAGCATTTATTGTTTTGAAGCTGCACTTCTGCTGCTGCTAAGCAGTTCAGGAATACAAAAAGAACACCCAGTAATGGCAAGAAATTTAGAAAATAAGAAGTCAGCCAGAGCTACTTTATGGAGATTAGACCTGGGGACACCACAGACCTTTAGATCTCTGTGACAGGGAAGGAGTGTGCTATTTACAGTAAGTATTTGGAAAGCTCTCTTAGCTTCCTTGAGACCGAGAAATTGGTTTGGCAGTATGGACTGTGCTATGACATTCTTTGTACTTCCCAGTGACTGCTGCGGTTTTTTCGTGATTAAATTTCTGGTGAGCACCAAACTTAGAAGATTACTCTTATAATAACTAATAATTTCTTTCATTTGAGTTATAACTCTCTTTAATATAAAAGTTTCCTTTATTTCTATTTTTCCTTTTCAAATATTCTTTTCCGCTGTTTTAAATTACAATTTACATTACTAAATATGATTTTCCACTGTTTATTTTAATTGTCATGTTTTACTGACAAAAGCTTATAATTGCTTTTGCAAGACTATGTTTGGCAAGCATTGTTTTCCTACACTGATAATACACCGGTATCATAATGACAACATGATCTTATTTTTGAAAGAGTGAGCCAATAGGCTCTCTAACAGATAAAAACCTTTTTACAGACTAATATTGTCCTTTACACCAGTGTTTGATATCAGAAATTGAAATTCTGAGATCAAAAGTCCTTTCCTGGCTATGTCAGAGACATTTTTGGTGAATTAGGGAAAATAGTTTTCACCACATTATCTCGTTTTCACCATCATACTGAGCCTGTCTGGTTCTCAGGCACATTGGAACTCAGCTTACTGACATTTTCAAAATACTTTAACATATTTGCAAGTGTTACTTGCAATTACTATTAACTCTATGAGCTGAGGATTGTAATATAGAGGTGTTAAGGTGTTCTAATGTGTATGTTGTGGGAACTGTAGAAGGCTTACCCCTGTTGTGACTTTCGCAGTTCTGTTGACTTAAGGGGCTGTTCTGTTGTTTATAAACATCTATTTTTGTATGTATGTATATGTGTACATTAATATGTACAGGGCATATATTGGCTCTGCAAGGCAGTAGTGTCTCTTCTGGTTTTATTCCTTCAGTTTCTGCTTCTACCTGTTGAACTTCCTCATTTTGCACTTTGTTCCAGGATATTCGCCACAGATGACCAGTTATTTCCTGGTTTTATTACCATGTATTTGAAGCTCTTTCCTTTGCAACTTGAGAGGGCATCACCTGTGAATAAGACTTTCCTGTGGGTTTGTTTGGCCAGCTGGTAGAATTGCAGTCATGTCAGCAGTGTAGTATTGCACAGCTGTTTATGGTACAGCAACCTGCTTGTCCACACTTGGCTCCCTGTTCTGTAAGAAGGAGAAAATGCTGAGCATTCAGAGCTGACTGACGCTGTGATCTTTATTCACTGTCTATAGCAAGATAAATAAGGATACTTCGGAAAGAAATTACATCTTTAAAAAAATAGGGGTGTTAGTTATATTCTTCAGATTTTGTTCTTTTCTACATCTGGCCTGGAATATACAAAACCTGCCATAAGTCCTTCAGAGGGAATAACATACCTCATACCAATTAACACTATGAGCAGATGATTGCGAGCAGATGATTGCAAGCAGATGTGTGAGGGCTGCTGACCCCTCCATTCAGCTGGCTGTGAGCACCCATCTTACTGTTTCCAAGGTGAAATGAGATGTGTTCACTCCCCAGGAGGAGAGATTGGCAGCAGGCAGCTCTGGTTGTCAACATTTTTAAACTGCTGCTGCTGGTCTTCACAGGGTCAGAAGCAAAATGCAGGTGAATTTCAGCTCTGTAGTGATTCAAGCTGTTGAGGTAAGTCTGCTAGTTCAAGGGGTGAAAGGAGACAGAGTCCATAACCTTTACTCTCAGGGGGATCTGGGTATCAGGAAGGCATTACCAGTAGCAAATTTAAATGTAGTGATTTTTTTTTTCTGTGCTAGTAACCTTACGGTACATTAATGCCCATTTGAGAGGCTGACTACTGTTTTGATTTTGGTGATGACCACGTTATTTAAAAAGTAGATTTTCTTAGGCATAGAATAATGGATTTTCTTTTATATGCCCATTCTTTATTGAAGTAATAGTATTATTAAATATCCATTTTGTCTGTTGAGAGAAGTTATCACACAAACCAGTTTGTGGTATGTGATTTACAAAATTTTTGAACTGAAGCATGTGATTTCGTGAACTGAATGGAATTAATTAAATGTGATTGGTAGTGACTGATATCAATATTTGTGTTCAGCCATATACTTGTCACACAATTTTTCTATGAAAAATGTAACTGGAAACATGCACTTGCTGTTGGACTTGGCATCCCAGCATAGTCCTGGGCAATAAACTCAAGGTGGTCCTGCTTGAACACAGGTGTTGGACGAGATGCCCTTCAGTAGTCTCTTCCAAATACAGCCATTCTGTGATTCTGTAGTCAGAAGTCTTTGGGTGTATTTTGAGTGTGAATTCAGCCTGCCATGGCACTGACTGCATCACAGTTTCTTTTCTGTACCAGCAGCTATCAGTCTTGCACTCTGATTTTGGTTATGAAACTTAAATTTCCACCTTGAAAAGACATATTTGTCATCTTTGATTAATTGCAACCTATGACTCAATTTGATTCTCAATATTCTCCACTCATAAATTTGTCTTTTCGCATAAAACACCTAACTTGCATATGTTAACTTTACACTGAAGGTAATGATGTATGGTTGGTTGTTTTCACTAAGATTATGGCCTCTCTGATACCAGAATTGCTACAGCATGTCTGCTTTCAAGGAAAAAACAAAAAAGGTGTATACCAAGAATTTAACCAATTAAATCAGTTATTCATCTATGAAGTCTGTGAAGTATTTGACCAGTTTAATTGCAAAGAAAGAATAGCAGAAGACTTCTCAAGGTAAAACATTTTTCTAACAAAACTAGCTATTATTTATATAGCATAAATGAGGAGAATAATATGGAAATGAGAAAGAAGCTTTTACTGATGTATAGCTGTAGAGGGCTTGTTCCCAACAAAGAGATCATGAGCAACACCCATTCTTACACCTTCCATTTTAAAATGAAACAGGACAGGTGACACCCAGTTTTTCCCAGTGCATATGTGATTTGCATGAGTTATAAATTAGTTTTAATGACAGTGCTGACACACTTGTTTCACTAATTCTCTGTGTTACCACGGGTCTTGTGGGACTGTTTAGATACCCTATCTATCATTTATTCTTTGTCTTGTCTGCTAGGCCTCTTTTCAAGTCTCTCAAAATTAGAGACCATTACAAGAGAAATTACATATTTAAAAAAGACTTCATTCACTCTCATTCCTTCATTCCTGATACAGTATTTTGAAGTTCAGTGCTAAGAAACTTGCTGATAGGTAATTGAAGGTGAAGCAAATAGTGGCAGGTGGCAGCTGTTTATTTCAAAGAGGTGAGTTGCAGAATAGGAGAAGTATGGAGTGGGAAGCTGAAACTTCCAGACAAATGAATGCATTAAACATGTGTTGCCCAGAAAAGAATGACATTTTAGGGCAGGCCAACATTTTACAGTAGGCCAAACAACTTTGAATTGTAACCCCGGAGTTTAGTTAGAGTTACATGAATTTGGCTGGGATGTTACCAGTGAGTATTCTTGTAAACATGCAAAGGGATGTTTTTAAACAGAATTAACAAAGCTTTGATCTTCTGTATAATCAGAATAATTAAATCTCCAGCGGGGGGTGGTGATGGTGCTGCTGTTTGTTCATGTTCAGACGTTTCAGTTTCCTGACTAGGAGAATAATTAATGTGCTATTTCCTTGGAGATCTTTCAGAATTCTGACAAGATTCTGTCTCTTTTGCCTTGAGAAGCTTTTAAGTGATGTAGCTATACCCAAATACAATTAACCATTCGTTTTTCCTGTTAATGTACTTTCCTGAAAGTTAACTTGCATGATTTACAGATTTATTTTTATGTCACTACTGATGCCTTTTTATTTTCCAGAGAACGCTCGTTTCGCTGTGCAGCGCCACCTAGTGCACAGAGCTGCTGCTGCATGCAGGAACAGCTGCGACACTCGGCACGGCCAGGAGGGATGAGGAGCCTTTCCCGGATAGCTCAAACAACGTTACTCACATCTTCAGAAACAGAAGCTTTTTTACTTCCAGCTTTCCTTCTCCAAAATATGTGTAGTATTTGCCTTTTCATGACTTTAAATTCATTCCTAGCTGAAGTATAGCCTACTCTTACTTTCTTGGTAGTATGCATAATAGCTACGGGGCCATTATACTACTACCTATTGATGCTTAATGTGTTCTTTTTTTTTTCAGCACAAGTCCATGGTTGCTGTTTGCAGTATAGGAGGCCACAAACTGGAACCCCACATTTCCAAGGTTTATGTTTCCAAACACCAAATTTTTGCCACATGGTAATTTCTGTACTTTTTCACATAGTAATTTCTTTCTGTTTATGGAAATGAGGTACGTATACAAAGAAAGTAATTTTGAATTTAAGTGTAATGTAACATTTTCTTTTTTTTCCCCCTTAAGTAGTAAAGTAAAGATGTAAGTAGTCCAAATCTGCTGTTATAAGTGTTTGGGCAAAGTTTTGGAGGAACCAAGCTCAAAATTATTACTTTCACGCATTTTCACTGTTTTGCAGGGTTTGTACTATTTCTATCAGTGGTCTCATTTAAATTGTGAAACTTTCTAAAATAAGATCATAAGATATTCATCCTCTGTACCATAAGTAGAAATTGATATTTAGTGTGAAAATCCTTCATTTTAGGATTTCATTTTAGGCATCTTCAGAGACTACTGAAGATGCTGTCTGTAAATCAGTTTTTGTTACAAAGAAATCTCAAATCAACAGCGACATGTTTCTTTATAAATGATGTTCTGTGTTCACTCAGTTTAGTCTATACACAGTAGTTTGCAGACAATCATGAAAATAAATGGCACTTTTACACTTGATGAAGTAGACAGGTACTCTCTTCAGAAAATATTAATTAACTAAAAAGCAGTCTCTGCAGTGGCTCTGCCTCTAAGTATATGTAATAATTTATGCTATTTATTTAACAGGTATGACTATCTAGTGATAGAGGCAATTTATTTCAATTATTAAATCTTGAAGATGAGAACATTGTAAAAGCAAATATGTGTGTACAGTCATTCAATCACCTTCATGAGTGATAAGGGAAGCCTTTTCTTCCCTAAGGCAGGTGCAGAATTTAAACCTGCTTTTGTCACGATGTGTGGCATGATAGCTACACAAAAAAGCTCCTGCATTAGCCAGTCTTCACACATACTTTGTTAATACCGTTTTACCATAAACATGTTCTCTACAGCAACATTAATTCTTCCTGTTAGTAAGTTCTGAGTGAAGTTCCAGGTTAGAATACTTGATAAAGAGACAAGATTTGTAGAAAGCAGTAGTAATGTCCTTAATTAGTTGTGTAGTTGGCAGAATCAAGTACAATCCTTCACCTAATTGAAGAGCAGCAGGCACCAGACAAAGTATTACAGTGATGCCAACACACAAACAAGGGAAGTGTAGTCTGTGAGAGTGCTAAGCATGAGCAGGCATGCTTCATTACTTGCTGAGAGGTCATCAAAGGACATAGCAAGCTCATCAGTCATATACCATATATTCCTTGTTCATCTGCTACAGAATGCAGATGGCTGTAATTAAATAACTTGTGTATTGTCACTGTATGAATTGAATCGTGACAGAGAGACGGTCCTTTCTCCCCTTCTATTTGTTTAAGTGTGCTAAGTGTAACATATTATTATAACATTGGCTTATATAGATGACATCAGGAAAGTATAGATTTAATTCAGCTGTATTTTAATTCATCTCTTCACTTGACAAAAAACATCCTGTGTAAGGAGAGAACTCTTTAGAAGTCACTTTCTGTGACAGCAGAGTGATTCACCAATCCAAGAGCTGATTTTAGCTGACTGGTTTGCTACTATATTTTGCCATGAAGGAGAATAAAATGTATCATTATTTTATGAAGAGGTTCTTTTCTTCCCCTTGCCAATTTGCTCTGAAAGTGTTTCTTTAGGTGTATGCCAAAGCAAGAGATCTGATTGAAGTACCGAACCTCAATTCTACTGTGTATCATCTTAAGCAGAACAACTTTTGCTTCTCTTCATGTGATTTTTTATTTCTAATTTGTTGCCTGTATTTCAATTTTGTATGTTTGGAAATACTTGCCAGATCTGAGACTAACAGCATTGTCAGTTTGTACTGTGATCATTTGGGAGCTTTGCATTTAACTATTTTAAACAAGTCAAAATCTGATAGGCTGGAAATAAAGAAGCTAAATGTTTTAAAATCAATGGAGGTGAGCTGTCAAAAAAATTCAAGGAAGTATTATAAAATATCCTTTAAATCTGCAAGGAACAGTTTGCTTGTCATTGTACACAACTTCAAGAAGATTTGATTTCTTTGAGCAATTGATTCAAAAATATCCTTATTGTATGAAGAAATGCCAGGCCATTGCATATATATACAGCTGTGTGTACATTTTAAATGTATAAGCTGGACTATGTGACAACAGGAATGCAGTCAGAATAAAATTCAGGTAAGAGACACCTATGAATCCTTTAAGCTCCATTCTACTATAAAGAGACTGATTTGACCTCTGTATCAAGGCTTTTTCATCCAGCCCAGGTGGCCAGGTTACCCTTGCTTGATGCAGAGAGCTGTGAGTGTTCACCTGACCCTTGGAACACAGCTTGGTGTTGCTGCATAGGCAGACAGTGCTGTATATGAAAAATTACATTTCTGACTTACAGAATTACACTTCTGACACTTCTGACACCTTTTGACCTATCCACATTGAATTTCACCTGCTCTTTTATAATCTGCCTCATTATACCTCTGCAACTCTGCATAGTCAGGCACAGTCTGTACTGTGCTTAGAATCATTAGTGACATTCATCACCTTCTTTTTCACTCCTTTCCAATTCAGTTTTGAATAATTTGAAAACAGGCATACCGAATGCAAGGACTGGGGCACTCTATAAGTCACCAATATTACTGTTTCCTATTCAGAATAGTCCCACCACTTCTCTGGAAGCTTCATGTGGAATGCAAATTCCAGAGAACATGCTAGCTAAAAAGTCATTGCCTTTAGGAGATGCAAAGTATTTTACGTCTCTGACAATTAGAAGCAGTTCTCAGATCACACCTTCTCCTCAAGCAGGACTCAAAAGATCCTACATCTTACAGATGCAAAATTTACTTCTTGGTATCTTGCCAAACCCCAATACTCTCTGGCTGCTTTTAGATATTCCACATGAGGAGTGTTTAATGTTTAATATCAAATTTACTTATTTGGTATAGTTGGCATTACATGGCAGTTCAATTTAGCAGAGTGATACAGAAATCAGTTGAAATCACAGCACAAGCAATATAGCAGTTGTGATGTTCAGCTGTAGTTAAATCTCTGTTGTAGTGTGATTGTCATTACTGGTCCCTCTGTGCTCACTGTCATGACACTGGACATCCTCAGTGACCTGTAAAGAATAAATGGATAAAAGCCAGCTCAAGTCTGTTGCTCTCTTCAAAATATATCATTTGTCCAATTTTTATGCTTTATGTTGTGCCAAGCTACCTATGCACTGCTCCATCACCCCCACCCCCATCCCCCAGTGTGGATCTGGCTGGCTCACAAAGGCATTGCTCTTAGTTAATAGTTTTGGAACCTGATGATTCACTGATGCAACTGTCTGCAACTAAAAGCAAGGTTACCATCCAGTTTACCTGATATCGAAGTAAGTTCAGCTTCCTTTATATTACATTATTCCCTGACCTCTGGGGTTTGCCCTTCTTTGATCTCACTGCAGGTGTGTGTGGGTTGATTGCACAGCTGAACTGCCAAAACCCCTACTGTGTCCAGCAGTCAGTGCATCCTGGTTTCATGCATGGCTTTGCTTCCTTGAGCAACAGTTATAGACTTAGAGAAGTCCTTGCTGAGTCACGTCACCACACAGCTCAGGATGCTACAAGCAGCCTAATCTTGTGAATAGCAAGGAATATCTATTGCTCTGTGAGCAGCAACTCCTGCCTCACATTCCTGCTGAGCTTGTAACCTAAGCTTTTAAACTCATAACAATTTTAATTTAAATGCATAAACATTTCCCATTTATTTCAAGCATGCATAAAAATGTGGTTATAGCTGTCTATAAACAAATAGGCCCTAAATTGTTTGGGTTTTTTTCTCTTATTTGTGGTATGCTTTTAACATGGTCATATAATCATTTGAGAAATCACTACAGTAATTAGTGGTCACTATAGAGGCATGTGGGTAATATGGTTTAGGGGTTACAGTGATAGTGCTGGGTTTACAGTTGAACTTCATGATCTTAAAGCTTTCTTCCAGCCTTGATGATTCTATGATTCTATAGTATATTAACATGTTGTCAACTACAAGGGAGAATATTAGCACTTCAAAATCTTTTATGAGCTCACAGGTCACTTAAATACCTCATTTTTCTTAGTGTTTATTCTGCTGATTCTTGGCTAATTGCTCCTTTTTCTCTGAGTTTTTGCTTATTCCTATTACTTCCCTTTCCCTGAGGCAACCCTCCCTTTCAGCCAATTTCTACTCTTCGGGCATAGCTTGTAGTCCTCTTTTCCCCATGACTTTGTTTGAGGCGGAGGCCCCTCAAATTTTTTCTCTTTCAGAAAGAGGCTGACTCTCTTTATATTGCTCTTTCTGAGTGGTGACTTCCATACCTACCAATACTACAAGTCTAGTAAATTTGTAACATTCTTATCTTCTGTCAACTCTTAGTCCTGACAAAGTTTGGCAGAACCTTGTTGTAAACAGCCCTTTCCAGCAAGGCAACAGTTCCTATTCCACGTGGACACAGTTGCTGCCCCTCACTCTTAAATAGCTGGTGTTTAGCAGATCACTGAATAGGTCAAATTAATAGAATGGAAGCAAATTCAATGTAAGTAGCAGAGGTCAGTACATAGATAGAATATTACTCTAAGAAAAATTGTGTATGGTTTGATATTTATTTTAATTATGTGAAAAAATGTGGATTTTAGTGGGGTATATCTTGTAAAGAAAGCTATTTCTGTTGGTAAAAGTTTGCACTATAAATTGCTTAGGAGAAGATTGCCTTAGTTACCAAGATAAATATCTCTGACCCAGACTAGAGAAAGGTATTTTTACAGTAATTGGTCTTCACGAGTTAAAGTTGGAGTTTACCCTGACTGACTATTTGTTGAAAAGACAAGTACATGGTATTGAAAACAAGCAGTGTTCAAATCACTAAGGAAACCAGTGTCTAGATACTAGAACTAAACATTCTAAATCAGGAAGAAAAAATACTTCAAAGACATATTTCCTAAAAATTACAGCATTTATGAATGCAGGTCCCTTTAGGAAATTTTCAAAATTTATGCTCTTACATCCCAAAGAACACCTTTGAAAACCCCAGCTCTCAGAGGAAACAAAATCCTGTCCCATGCATCTGATGTGATGTGAGCTACACTTTACCCATTGGGGGAGGCAGGAAGGAATTCAAGGTGTTCTTGACACAGCAGTCCTTTATCCTATGCTGAGCAAGCACCCTGCTGCTGATCACAGCAACACCAGGATTTACAGCTGATCATGATAGAAGTAGGTGACCTATCAAGATGCTTATATAGCATGCATACCCTTCAAGAATGCTAAAATCTTGATAGTCAGTTTATTAGTTTCAGGCTCAGTTATTCATTTCAGACAGTAGTACCTGTCTGACCTTTCTGCCTCTTAAAGGAAAAGCAAGCAACTGCTGCTGCCACTGATGACTGTCTACTCCACAAATGTACTGATAGTCTTGCACTGTTTGCTGTGGCTGGAATTCTGGCTGAAATTGTTCCCTCCCATCCCTAGAGGACGAGTCCATCCTCTGTGTATGAACCTTTCATTGTGGATTCTCACTCACTGCATAATGACTTTGCAGCCTAATCATTGAACTCTGGCCTTGAGACTATTGTTATTAGTCACTGGAGCAGGAAATCAAAACCAGCTCCAGCCATCAGCCAGGAACTTAGGACACTCTTCCTGCTGCAGTGTTACAGGTTGAATCACCAAGCTTCCTCACACATGCTGTATTTCTGGCTTCATTTCCCTATGTAAATGCCCAGGAGGAAGTATTTCTGCATTAGGAAAGATAGAGACAGTAACATCCTCACTCAGCTTTATAAGCTAACAGTCAGGATTGTCTCTTGAGAAAAGGATTTGGACTCAGGCTATGAAGGAAGTTGAACACAGGGCTTGAATTTTCTGGGTGAATGCTCTGACTAGGAGAGTTGTACTGCCAACAGCCAGCACACCCAGCAACAGCTGGTTTTGGAAAACTAAAATAGCTGCACACACATTTTAAAACTGAAGAGGGGCACCTAGGATTCCTTTTACCTAACTCCATGTGCCAACAAAACAGATCTTGTTAGGAAATTGATGTGCCACTCCACTTACATTTGGATCCTTATTAACTTATACGGGAGCTGGGAGGTTCCTTGCTTAGGCCACAGCAAGCTTGGTAATACTCAGACAAGGGTTGAAAAAACACAATGGCAAAGTCAATGGTCTCAAAAGGAAGCACAGAAAATTCCATTTAAACATAAGAAAAACTACTTCACTATGAGGATGCTTAAATAGCACATGGGGACTCTCCATCCTTGGAGATATTCAAAACCTGACTGGACATGATCCAGAGCAGCCCTTTCTAGTGGATTCTATTTTGTGCAGGGGATTTAGACCAGGCAGTCTCCAGAAGTCCATTCCAACTTCAATTATTCTGTGTTTCTGTGAGCACTGAGAATTTGAAGGCCAAACAGAAAGGCAAACTCTGACCCCAGACTAAGCTTTTTGTTCTTGAAACTCAGATAAATCCTATTCTCAGTGAGGATTTTTGTACCCAAATCCTCACTGAGATCAAAGCAAAGAAAACCAGCTGTGAGAATTTCCTTTACACTTGCATGTATTTTCTTTTATGCATTAACATGGTTAAACTTTAAAAGAAATGTGTGTGGTGTGGGGGTGGATGGGTGTGTGGGTGGATGGGTGTGGGTGTGTGTGTGTGTGTTAAAAAAGGAGCAACAAAAAGAGGGGGGGAGCTGCCTGGTAAGAAAGAATTAAACCCAAGGGCTGGAAAGCTCAGAGCAGTTCAAGTCAGAAAGGAAACTTTCAAATCTACACTTTGGACAGATTTTAAAGCGTGAAATAAGTGGAGATGGAAGGGCTACAGACAAAGAAAAAAGTTAAATATCCTTCCACAGTTACTTTCATTTCCTTGGCTACAGTAAAATAAGGACTAGTTAGCCAGTCAGCCAAACTGGCAAAGAAGCGATAACTGGTGTTGTGGAGGGGAAAGGCCCAGTTATCATGAAGAAATTTTCCATATTCCATTCACATAGCTTTGAATAGTTCTAAAGTTTGGATTTTTTTCCTTACCTTGGGATTTGCTTAAACCACAGAGTACTAAATACATATCTTTGCTTTCTTGCTCAATTTCAATGCTTCAAGTGTGTTTAATAACCTTGTTGGCAATCAATCACTACTGGAAGTGAAGGCAGAAGAGGACTGGGTTTAAATGGATAGCTACACACTGGAATTGTCTGTTTGCAGCAAAGTCCTTACATTTACAAAATGCATCCATTACAAGCCATTAAGGGAGAAAAAATTAATTTTGATCAATAGCTTTGCTTCCACACTTTTTTATTCTGAATAGTTGTTCAAATACAAATTTCATTCTGTATAGTTTTGGGAAATGGGAGAGTTATGTTTAGAGTGAGCCAAAAATGGTAAATATTTATTTTACATAGTGTAAAAGATAGTTATATAAAATTTTACTGAAATTTCCTGGTCATCTTTTCTGAGTCCTTGGATAGTATATTAATATATGTCATCAAAGCATTCTCTACATAACAGCTTTCAAACTGTTCCAAAAATGTTATTCTTTATGAAACTTCAGGTAAAGGAAATGGCTGTCTTCTGGTTTTGGTTCAATCGTGTTATTTTATTATTAGTTCTTATATTCCTTCATATCATCCTCCAAATAGTCTGTTTCTTTCTGGTCTTTCTGTTTGATTCCATAGAGATGTGCATTTAATTACAAATATCATGAGATGTAGTTCAGAAGGATTGAAGGGAATCAAACTATAGGCATTGAGTGAGATCAGTCTTTGTACGAATGGCTTTTGATGGAATAGAACACCTTTGATGTAGAAGGGAAATCTTAGATGGGTAGTGGGACAATTCAAGAACTGAAAAATAATCTGAGAACTCTCTTATGCTGATTTGTCATAAGGAAAGATTGTCAAATTAATCAGTTAAAGAAGTAGTAAATGACTGCCAGGGCATGGAAAGGACATTCAAGAACTTTAAACATTAAATTCCTCGCTTGAAAACTGTGGTGTTTAACCCAACCTTTCAATCAAACAGGAGAATAGAAGAAGACAGACATGTCACCAGTTTATAAAAATTACTAATTTCAGGGGTTATCTGAGGAACAATACCCAAGTCTGACTTCTGTGGGTGGCAAAC